CTGATTCCATGCAAACATACCTGGACACTGTTCTCACTATTGTCTCATCTCTGAAATTGGCTCATGAGGACATCTCTGAACAAGATATTATCCTGTGTGTGCTTCGAGGCCTCCCTACGGACTATGCCTCGCTCAAACAAAACGTTCGTACTAATATTGCAACCGTCACTTTTAATCAAGTATCTGCGTGGTTGCTCTCAGAAGAATTAAATCTCACCTTTGAGAAGAAATTGCACCTTGGTGACACTGGTTCTCCCTCGTCAACAAATATTCACCATGCATTATTCACCAATTCAGGACGAGGTACTGGCCGGGGTCGTGGCCGTGGGCCATATCGTGGCCGTGGAGGGCCCTCCCGCGGCAGCAGCTACAGCGGCAGAGGAGGCCGGCTGCCTTCCTACCGTGAGGAACCGCGAGGTCGCGGTGGTGGGCGTGGGGCCGGCATCACGTGTCAACTGTGTGGTAAGACCGGTCATGCGGTCTGGAATTGTTGGCACCGCTACGATGAATCTTACTCCGGTCCTCCACAGGCATACTACACCAATCAATCTGCTGAAACCAATCCGAACTGGCATCTAGATACTGGAGCGAACACCCATGTGACGTCTGATTTTTCTCGGCTACATACTTCTTCACCCTATCATGGCACCAATTCTATTACAACTGCGGGAGGTAATACTTATCCTATTGACCATACAGGCTCAGGTATACTCACCACTCCAAATCATACCTTTACATTAACCAATCTTCTTCATTCTCCTCATATTAATTCTCACCTTTTATCCGTTCATCAATTTACCAAAGATAATAATTGTTCCCTACTTTTCTTTTCAAAGGATTTTATGATTCGGGACAACACCACCAACCAAGTTCTTTTCAAGGGCCCCTGTGAGCGTGGATTATATTCTCTCCCTGCCTTCAGTTCGTCACCAGTGGTCAACTCTGTCAAAGTCACTCCCTATCAATGGCATTGCCGGCTTGGTCATCCCTCTGTTCAAGTCACCAAGTCTCTGTTATCTCAATTAGGT